CACTTAGAGTCTACATTAACATTTTATGTTACTAACTCATTCCACCGTGGATAGCAGCATTTCCCAACACTGGTCCTGGAGAAACAGTCTCTGCTGGTTTCTATTCCAGCTGAGCTCTAGTGTACATCTCCATTGCTTGGAACAGGCACCTCTAGATAAATCGTGAGGGTACCCATTATATCAACAAGCAAGTGTTATACAATGCCAAAAACTGCCCCACATGTCTGCAGACTATCCCTGCTCCGTTCATGGCTCATTCCCTGTTGTAGAAGCAGGGTGGATGGTAAAGGGAAATTTAAATCCATTTTTGATTGGAATTTCAGTCCCCAACAGTACTTAGATTAGCTGCACTATTTGGTTTATATTGATGTTGCCCATGTGTGCAGCCTGACTACTAAATCTGATTTCCATACACAGTCGCTGTGGTTGGCTTATGCTTCTGTGGCAGGGAGAGCACCAGCATAGATGAATATACCGTGTTAAGTACCGGTCTTTGTGTGAAAACATCAAGTGAACTTGTATGCCCTATAAATCTAAGAAATAAATTCAAAATGACATTGTTTCATTATACATAAAATTAATAGAAGTTAAGTACATGCTCTTGGTCTATCCAAATGCATTGGTGCATCGAGCTTCAAAAATCAAATCACAAATATCAGACAATTTTAAAAATGTCACTCTCTATCAGAATATCCAAAACAAATTTATTTTCATAGAATTAATTAAATATGACATTATTTTAACAAACTGTTGAAAAAATAAAAGATCTGGATCTATTTAAGGGGGGTTTTCTGGAATTGCTTATATTTTATATCCTATCTGCATGGAACTGAAGATTGTTACTTATCTTTGGGAAAAAAACAATGTTTTGGCTATTGAACCTTCTACAAGAGAAGTTTCTTGAGGTTTTGACTCAATTGTTGAAACATTCGACTCAACTGTCAAAATTTTGTGTTTATTTGTGCTTTAGAGCATGGAATTAACCTCTGCTTGTTCCTTTGCTGCCTGCACGTTGACTCTGTTCCCCACTCGAACCTCTATAAAAACAGTTTTCCCCAGCACTGCTCTGAGACGTTTGCTGTTTAGAACCGCTCTCCATTTGGCTTGTGGCGAGTTGCTCTGTAGATCATCTACAATCAGTACCTGCTAGAGAAACAAGGCCACTATCAGAGTACCCTGAAAAAGCCACAGGAGTCACTGTTGCACTGCAAAAGTCAGGGTGCCATAACTGATTCAAGTCCACCCAACCTCCAACGGTGTTTTATTAAATGTTATAAATTCATTAAAATGTCCCATTGCATCATACATTATACACCAACAAAAACTTAGTCTTGTTGTTTTCTATTATTATTATTGATGATGATAATAATAATAATTCCTCACACTTACAGTTTTATGCACAACTTTGGGCACCCCTGGCTAAATTGTTTTGTCTTGTTGAAGTTCTAAGTGAAAAGAAGTTAAAACAACCTCTGCAGCAAACAAATTTAAACTTGGCATGTTTCTGCAAATATTAATGCACAGTTACTATTTATATGCTAAATTTAACAGTTTGAAAAATATAAAACAGTAAATGTGGCAAGTGCAAAAGTTTGGACACCCTTCCAGTTGACATGCTAGTGTTATTTTTTTGTAAGGTCTCAGAACTTAATTGACTCGTAAGGCCTTAATCCAAGTCAGGTGATGACAGTTCCAGAGCTTCATAAATTCTCTGACTTTTCTAACCTTTCAGGGTGTTGTGCTAACAGTTATCAACCATGGGCTCCGCTCCTCTAAGTAGCTGACAGAGGATCAGAGAATAAAGATAATTGACTCTTACAAAGCAGGGGAAGGCTATAAAAAGATATTTAAACGCTTCCTGCTTGCAATTTCCACTGTCCAAAATGTCATTAAGAAAAGGAAGTTAAGGGGAACTGTTGAAGTCAAGACAAGATCTGGAAAACCAAGAACAATCTCCGATAGAACTGCTTGTAGACTGGTCGGGAATGCAAAGCAAAACCCCATATCACTGCAAAGGACCTGCAGGAAGGTTTAGCTGGCACAGGAGTAGTGCTGCACTGGTCCACTATGCAGCACTGCTTGCACAAACATGATCTACATGGAAGAGTGACCAGAAGGAAACCTGACCTGCAATCTCATCACAAAAGTCAACGTCTGAAGTATGCAACACAACACGTACAGTAGATAAGCCAGAGGCGTTTTGGAACCAAGTGCTGTGGTCTGATGAGGTAGAAATTGAACCATTTGGCTACAATCACCAAAGGTACACTTGGAGAAAAAAAGGAGAAGCATTTGAAGAAAAGAACACCTTGCCAACTGTTAAGCATGGGGGTGGATCTAGTATGCTTTGGGGTTGTGTAGCAGCCAGTGGCACAGGAAATATTGTGCAGGTAGAGGGAAGAATGGATTCTGCTAAGTATCAACAAATCCTGGAAGCTAATGTCCCACAGTCGGTGAAGAAACTGAAGCTGAAAAGAGGTTAGATATTACAACATCTAAGACAATGATCCAAAACATACCTCATAATCAGCCATGAACTACTTCAAGATATGAAAAATTAAGGTTTTGGAAAGGCCTTCACAGTCCCCAGACTTGAATATTATTGAAAATCTGTGGTTAGATCTCAAACATGCAGTGCATGCAAGACGACCTAAGAATATTTCTGAACTAGGAGTGTTTTGCAAGGAAGAGTGGGGGGAAAAAATTCTAAAGCAAGAATAGAAAGACTGTTAGCTGGTTAAAAGAAATGTTTGGAGGCTGTGATTTCTTCCAAAGGGAGTGTCACTAAGTACTGACGTTTGCACATTTACAGTTTAATTTTTTTTCAATCTCTTAAATTCAGCAAATAAATTGTAACTGTGCATTAAAATTTGTAGAAATATGTCAAGTTTAAGTTTGTTCGCTGAAGAAGGTTGTATTAACTTCTTTTCATGTAGGAAATCAACAAAATGTAATTTGGCCAGGGGTGCCCAACGTTTTGCATACTCCTGTATATAGCACTTTTCTGGACACTCCACTCAGCACTTTGCAGGTAATGGACTCCCCTCCACCACCATAAATGTGCAGCCCCACCTGAATGACAGCCATAGTGACCACAGTACGTTCTCCACTCACCATTCATAGATGGGGATTATTAGGAGGCCAAGATTGATAAAGGCCAATAGGAAATTTGGCCAGGATGCCGGAGTAATGCCCCTACTCCTTATTTGAGAATCGCCCTTGGGTGTTTTTGTTGACCAGAGAGAGTCAGGACCTCAGTTTTACATCTCATCTGAAGGACAGAGTCTTTTTACAGTATAGTGTCCCCATCAGTATACTGGGGCAGTAGGACACACACGGACTACAGGGTTAGCACCCATTACTGGTCCCACTAACACCACTTCCAGCAACAACCTTAGTTTTTCCTAGGAGGTCTCTCATCCAGGTACTGACCAGGCTCACACCTTCTTAGCTTCAGGGGATTGCCAATTGTGAATTGTAAGAAGATATGGCTTCTTCAAAAGACTGCGCACAAATTTGATTTAATCACACACAATATCCAGATATTGCTGTACTGTGGGGCACTTTTATGCATCAGATCTGTTACTCAGTCCCTTGAGAATTCCTCAGTTGATGAAGGTGGCAGCTACTGATACAGTATACTGTCACCCATTTGGTAGTTTAACCTGCTAAGGGTCATTGCTATACCTGTTGACAGTTGTCAAAAATCCCAAATAAATTAACCATAAATTAATTGTAAGAAAATACTGACATTCATTCTGCCATGTGATTGATTCCACAAGGAGTAAGATAAAGCACTGAAAAAATTACATTTCTGTTATGAACTTAGAATACAAAATGATAGATTGTTGCACCATTGAAGATATTTTCAGTTACTTTTGCTCCTCAGACATTTCTGTCCAGATTGTATTGACTTTTTTTGCTGTTTGGAAAATAATATTTAAGTTCATTGGGAAACCTGGATTATGGGATTTCTGTTTTCTTCTTTAAGCACATTTACAAACTATTTTTTTCATAGAAGAAAAAATACACTATTACATACAGTACCTGATCTAAGCAAAGCTAAAGTGAAAGTAATAATTATGTATTTCTTATTCAGTTTTAGAACTAAGTAAATCACAGTTGCAGTTCACACCAGGAAATTAATTCAACTACTTAACAGCTGTGAGACTAATTGAAGAAGATGAAAATTCTGACAGTGAAATATGGACAAACTTTTCCATTGTCAATTGTGCTTTGCACTTTGGTCAGCTGGTCTGCAAAACTATTTATACAAATATCTAGTAAGAATGTTGTTCTTGCTGCTGAGCTAAAGGATAACACTACACCTAACTGAGAAATTTCTCAAGAGGTTCTACTCTGTGGACATTACTGATTTTCTCATACTGGTGCTTTGTTTCACTCTTCTCAAGGCGGTTTAGGTATAAGAGCAGGGCAAAATGAAGACAGCAGAAGATAATGAGAGGTTGGCATAAACACAGCATAACAGGGCCAAGAGTAACAAGACTAAGGCAAGGGAGACTGGAAAGTGCTGCAGCACAACTGAGCAGTGACATACAGTTTCTGGACATGACAGTGAATGAACTCTCTTTAGAAGTCTGTTATACTGAGAAAAAGAGTGATGACCTTCACTTAAATTGATTGCTTCTACAAAGCAGCAATGACTTGCCTGTTAATATCCATTAGATTTTCCAGGAGTAAGTGCACTCAGACCTGATATAGTACACACCCAACTAAATGTGCTTCCTGAGTGAGTGGAGTTGGGGGGCTACACAATCTATATATACTGAACACAAAATATAAATCCACTGATGCAAGTTTTTGCTTTGTTCCTGCAAGATCCCTTTCTCAAATGCTTCACATTTCATTGGAGTCTTTAAAGGCCAGTAAATGTTGTGCAGCACTTTGCAGTATCTATGACCGATATATTGAATAATTGTTTAATTAAAATTATGTCTTTGTTTTTCTCTTCCCACACTCCTACTCCCGCTATACTGTAGACTTTTCAGTAGTTTAGGAGAGCTCCACACCATTTCCCAGAGAAGCTACGGAACGACGTACACAATCAGACCAGGCAGCCGCTACCCTGTGACCCGCCGGACTCCGAGCCCAGGCAAAGTCCCCGCGGCCACGGACAGGACAGACCCTCTGGGCCCCACTCGGCCCTACGCCCACTCCACATCCCCCACCACCCCTCCCACCATCCTCAAGTCATCGAGCCTCAGCATCCCTCACGAGCCCAAGGAAGTGCGCTTCGTCATGCGGAGCGCCAGCGCCCGGAGCCGCTCCCCCTCGCCATCCCCCTCTCCCACCCTGGGCTCCCCTCTGCACCCCCTGCGACCCTTCATCCAGAAGCCCCTTCACCTGTGGAACAAGTACGACGTGGGGGACTGGCTGGAGAGCATCAACCTGGGGGAGCACCGCGAAAGGTTCCAGGACAACGAAATCGAGGGCTCGCACCTGCCTGCCCTGACCAAGGACGACTTTGCTGAGCTGGGAGTTACTCGCGTAGGCCACCGGATGAACATCGAACGAGCTTTGAAACAGTTACTAGAGAGTTGACCTCCACAAGCCCTTCTAGTCTGTCGAAGCTTTTTTTTAATTTTTCCCCCCCTTTTTTTAAAAACAGATATGATATTTATACTCTACTCACTGCATTGCACTGAATGGAAGACAGAAGAATAAACGCCTTCCTATACAGCCTCCCCACTCCATCTCCACTCACCCATGCAATCAGCCGGCCAGCCAGTCTGTCTGTGTGGAGTGACGTCCTTCTTTGCAAAAGTGAATGTTGCATGACCTCCACCAGAATGTCCCGTTTTTGATGAATGCTTGGTGTGGCTCCCCAACCCCAACCCAATCCTCTGCCGCCCCCCCCCCCCTCCTTCCCAGGACTCTCATCGTTTCAGCCTTTTTTTTCTTTTCCAGCTTGAAATGAACAGGAGAGTCTCGATCTGAAAGGAAAATTCAGTTGCCTTTCGAAGTATTCACAAATCGACATTGACAAACAGAAAACTGACACACAAAAAAAGACTTTGTTTTCCTCCGTGAGGGAATTTCAGCTGCCTCACACATTTGGAATTCTTTTTAATTCAGCATTTGGCATTTATTTTAGGGAGGGTGGGGGGGGAGAGTAAGATCAGACAGTTGCATTGGAACAAAGTTTGTTAATCTGAGATCCTTTTACTGACTGTGGTATCTATTATATTAGGAGAATGTTTAACCGACACTAGTGGCTTTTTTTCATAATCAAGGTTTTGCTTTGGGAAGACTTATTTTCCAAAGGGAATATTACATAGATAAGATATAAGTATTTAGATGACAGCTTTAAAAAAATAATCAAGCACCTGTCTCCTACTGCTATTATGAGGATATAGAAGTTTAAATATTCCACTAGTAATTTACTTGTGTTTTTACCAATTCTATATATATATTTGAAAGCAAAAAAAAGTATATATATAATTTTTTGTTATAATTTTACTAAAACTATATATGGTATTATATAAAATCCACTGTTGAAAATGAATCTTCCTTATATTGGCCCTTTTTTTAAACATTGCTTGGAAAGACGTTGCTTCACTTTGTCACCATCTGTTCAAGGTTTTAAAAGAAATTATGTTAACACTTCTGCGCAACATGTCTTCCGTCTACAATGAGGGTATTCTAAAGCAAAGAAATTTGCATATTTCCGTACCCCTTGCACAGTTTGTAATTGCACGTGGACAAATGAAAGTGCCCTTTTACAGACTAGTGAGGATGCCTGTTTTCAGAGAGCCATGCTGTACTGATTTAGAATTATAATTTTAACGAGAGTCCACATCATCATTATCTAGCCCCTTAAGGTAATACTTTTTTTTTAAACCATAACTCATTTCATTAGGTTTCTGTAATTAACAGTTTCCCTTTTGGTTACAGTTACTCCAGGTATCTTTAGGGCATGCATGGCCTAATTCATGAGCTTGGCTTCCTCCAGGAGAGCATTTTTGACCTCGGAGTTGAGTTAACGTGTTCTGTGCCACCTCAGCACCCACGCACAGTGAAGTTTTAGAATCTGCCAGAGACTTCACTTATATTTTGCTGCACAGTAGCCATTCTGACCATTAAGACTTGTATTCAAGTCTGGTTTTAATGCTTGAGATGTTTATGGCTCAACACGATGCAAGTTAAGGGGACAACAATATGAAAATTAATCTAGCATCTGCTTAGATTGCCTTCCCTCTCAGCACAGAAGTTCACAGTTTTTTGTATCAGCAATGGCAGAACAGGTATCAAGCAAGGCCATGTGTTGTAATTGCCAGAAGGCAATGATGTAGTGGGAGTACATTTCGGCAATAACAAGGCTGGTAGGATGTTCCATTTATGTATCTACTTTCCCGCTTTTACTGCCTTTCTCTCTTCACTTTACAAAAACACACACGCGCAGTATAAAATAATACATCTGTTGGTTTTGTTTCAGAACAAAATTGTGAAAATCTGAAAAATATAAGGCTTATTATATTATACAATTATTTTGTACTGTCACCCTACAGTCCTTCCTGTTCCTTCGCTGACAGAAGACATTTACAAAATAAGGTTTTAAATAATCCTTTAAAGGATCTTAACTTTCATATTGTTGATTTATTGATCGGGACTTTGTTTGAGTTTTTATCCTTGTTGGTTTTGTAGCTTGTAGAATTTGATGCTTAAAAGCTGGACATTTTTTGTAATAATTTGCAGACTAAAGTTTTTGAGAGGAATTAAAGACAATGTATTAAAAAGGAGCTTATTTAGGTCCATGAAAGCTCCTTAAAATGTAAATATTGAGAAATATTTAAAATAATTGCTTTTTATATCAATAACAAATGTGTAAATTATATTAGTTTTCATAGACATTTTTAAAAGAAAAAAAATGAATGTTTGGCATATATATGCAGAGTATACCACCTGTCGAAGAGGGTGACGAAGAACTTTTATATTATAGCTGAACTGGGGATGCTTTGCACAACACCAGGTGCTAACCTGAAGCCATCCATCTGAAATGAGCATGGCGTCACTCGGATTAATGCAACACACACTCTTTTTGGCCGGTTTAGATGCATCCTAGACAAAACAGTGGTCATTCTCTTGCATCCTGCTTCCCCAGATTCAGGTACACAGTAGAACACAAAGACACACCCTTGAGCCATAATGTTGGAGAGCAATGATGTTTTTTTGTGCTTCTGCACAGTATCCTGGATGTGTGCAGGGTTTGATTCTCTTGAGCTGGTATTGCTTCTGCACAGATGAAACTGTGGTTCAATGGAGACGGCACAGAATGGTTTCAGGTGCACCTCCTTCATTCTCAAGTCACACCTTGTCCAGTACCTGAGAGTTAATCATACTTGGCCTTAATACTGGCTAACAACTAATGTGCCTCCAGATGACAGAATCCCGATTATGAATGACAGACGACGGCTATTTCACAGGATCATGTTATGAAACTTTTCGTTAGTCGGTTAAAGACCTCCTGTTTGTCCCCTGTATACTGCCCCTGAATTGGATTGTGTTTCCAGAAGGTTTGCAGTGTGTCCTAAAAGTATCACTGCCCTCCCCTGACCGACTCCATCGCATTCTTCCAAAGCTACATTTTTAGAGCCAGCTTCAGTACAATAACGCAGCATGTTAACACTGAGAACTGTTTAGAGAAAACTAATTTGCTGAAAGAGATAGATCTCATTTTAGGCATGGAAAGTAAGTCACGTAAGAGTTTGTGTCTCTTTATCAGATAGTACCTTTACATGGGTGACAGTATGTATCCTTACCATATACACAAACAGTAAGAAAAAAATCTGGCTTTGTAGTTATCATATTCTGTTACAGAGTTAAGAGGAACTTGGAAGCAAAGAAGCAATTTTCGTGGGATATTGGTAAGAATTCAATCTACTTTGAACTGATGTTCTACTAGTGTTCCTAGACCATATGAAGTCAACTTTGTCAAGTTTAGCTAAATCAATTTACTTTGGACAGTCTGTCATTTCTGGGGGGTCAGAATACTAGGACACTGCAGTTTCTTACTGCAAAACTACTGTATAACTGAAATAAAATTTAATCTCAGTTAGGCAATTAGTTGTTCCATGATGAGTCACATAGCCCTCCAAACAAGAATTCTGTTGTTCCTCATTATTTTGGGCATACCCATTCCTGGAGCTGCTATATAAGATCACCTAGCATGAGCAGTGAAGTCCTAACACTAAAATTTCTGTTCTGCTTCTTAGCATTACTAGGCCCTCTGCATTTAATAAATTTGAGAGTGGTTTTCTCAGAAGTATCCATTGTTCCAGAGCCTTGGTACAATTTAATGCGGTGTGCACAAAATGTCAATGAGTGCACCAAGAACTACCAAGAAAGACTAATGACGTACCGGAGTCTGAAAATACTGGGATGTGCTTTCATCCACCTGTGATTTCAGCAGGGTGGATTTCTACTGGCAGTTGCTTTTTGTGTATTTTGGTTTGCTTTCTTCTATTATTTGATGGTCAAATGTAATGGAGTGATAAGTTTGTGTTTAAAAAGAAGAAAAAAATAGTGCCAAAAAGTATTGAACTGTTTTCTCTTATCTTTAAAAGATTTTACTTGTAAAACTGAGCTGACTCAGCTCTATGGTGCCATCTCCTGGAAATCTTGAGTATTACTGACATCTGGTAAGAATATATACTGTATTTATAAAATCATTTTTGGTGGAAAAACATTTTTTATGTTTTGTTTTTTTTTCTTTTTGTAATCGAATATATACACACATTTTGGGGAGTATCCACTGAAATTTTTATTCATATTTTGAGATAAGTGTTGAGTTTCTTTTGTTTGAACAATATTGATGGCTTAAGACAGTGTCTCTGCATCTTCAATGCTAAAGTGAATTTTGTTCCTGCCTCCACCTTCATCCCTGAAGTTACATTACATGTAGTGATAACGTGGAATGCAGTTCAAAATAGTGTTGCTTTTCTGGATTTAGGGATAATTAAGAAATTATTTACTCCTTGTTTGTACATCTATGTTATTATATACAAATATAATGAAAAGAAAAAAACATTTAATAAACACGTCATTCACATAAAACAGATTTTGTAGGGTCCTACATTGTCCATCTTCTCTCAAAAAAAACAACAAAGCACAACAAAATGGTCTGAGTCCCAGAGAAATGCAGATAAATCCTTCTGCAAGGATTTACAAGGCTTTAGATTAAAGAATCTTCAGTCTGAGATAAGTGGTGATTTCCATGATAGAGGGCCTTTCTTTTCTTGCACTGTGAGTCAAGATGCTGGAACTTGTCTTGTTAAACTTATGTACGTCCTTTGCCTTTCAGACCAGAACCGTGTATCGATCTTGCCTTCGTTGCACTCTGCTCTCATTGCAAATCTAAAGCGACAGGAAAACCGCTTAAATAGGCTTGGTCTTTTTCAGCGATCAAATACTGTTTTACAGCAGTTATTAAACCAACTTGAAGTACCACAGATTTGCAATTCCTTACATACAGTATGTAAATTACAATCTAAAGGCAGCATCTCTCGCATTACCAATTAATACTTTTTCACACTTACGTTTTAAAACTTTTTTAAAAACAGATTTTGACCTTATCAAGTTCAGTGAAAACGAATGCAAACAATGTGTGCCACTTTCTCTTAGTAATAAAAAGGTTTCGATTTGATTCCTCTTTTCACTTGGGAGTTCTAGTTTCTGGACATGTTAACTGTCTTTGGAAAACAACTGCAATACCGGCTATGAGTTTTTAGCATCCTGTCACATTGTTTTGGTTGTCTCAATCAGCCCATCATATACGAACAAGCAGTTTTGCAAATAAATCCAATAATAAGGTGATATTACATCTTGTCAGTTTTTGGATTGCAGCTTTTTTTTATTTTCTTGTTTGCTATTTGGAGCAGTAAGCCATTTTATCAGAGAGGAACACCATTTCAGATAGTTCCTCTTACAAGTAGAACTTCTACTAAGATCAATTCATGATTGTTTTTTTTTATGGGGGCACAAACTGATGGTATTTTAGCATAGCCATTTTTACACTCTGTGTTAAATTTAATAAACAAGAAGTTCAGTACTGCGTTGGAGTGGCATTCCAGTAGCCCAAGTAGTCCTGCCTTACACCTATGCTTCTGGGATAGGTCCTAGGTTGCTGCAACATTTCCAGAATTAAGTGGCTTTCTGACAACAGCTCAAAATCTAACAAGGTCAAAATAAAGGGGCATAGGAATTTTTCCAATAAATCTCTTCAAATAGCAGTTATATATACATTTTCATTTAAGTCAGATACTGTAGTGCATTTCAAATCTAAAAAATAGACAGAGTGTAATTCTACATTCTACATATAGGACTTGAACATATGCACACCTATGTGGAAAGATATAAATGGTATTGAGTTTGATGTGTTGTGAATTTGACATGGTAAGAGTTTTGTGAGCTTTTGTTTTTTTTATACAGAGATAGCACGAAACACCTTTGGAAATTGTTTTAATGTGTTCTGTGGCATTTTAATCACACACAGATCTGACCATTTGAATGACAAATCTGAATAACTTGGTGGGGACATGAGCCCACAGATCTGCAACGCTGGTCCTAAAGAGTTGTTGTATATTGAAATGCTTGATTGGCCAAATATGTTGCTTAGTTAATTACAGGTAAAAAAATGTCTTCAGATGTCTTTCAAATGTAATTCAGATGTCTTTTTCATCACTATTAAAATCATAATACAAATCCTACAGGACTCTAGCTCCTTAGGAACAGGGTGAGAGACCTTTGCTCTCTAACTATTTCAATTAATGAATTTTACAACATGACAATTTTATATCAGGTTGCCAAAGCATCTGGATTAATAAAATGCTTGTAGAGTATTTACAGTAGGAGTAATGGAATGCTACATGAAAATAGTTAGAACAAAGGTTTTCAGAAAATGCATATAAACTGACATTTATAATTGCCAAAACTTTTAAGGTCACCATCACAAACTACAAATACAAACCCAAGATTATACAGTTAAATGAAGAATTTACTCTATAACAATCATCATGGGATTTGTTTCTAAATTGAACATCATTCCTATTGACTGTATACCACAAGAGTAGACATTGCCCCCAGGAAGCCCACCATTAGTGTGAATTGATAGACATAGTTACTGAAAGCCCATCATATGTGAACTGCTTGCAGTGTCTCTACAGAAAGATATCAGTACTCTACACAGAACACAATCAATTTCAGCTGCCTGTATACTTTTCTTCTTTATGATAGTATGTACAGTATTTTGACAATGTTGTTTTACCTTGATGTTAAGCATATTTTTATATGAACATCTGCTGTATCATTTTTTTCATAACTTTTCATAGTAGAACCATCAGTACACAAATTATGCCCATCTATAGTCAGAGACTAAGACCTACAATGTAAGAATACAAATGGCTTCTCGAATACTAAAGCCAAAAAATAATACTGTAAAACACTTTAAACCAAACTGGAGACAACATTTGTTATCTATTACAGCTCATTTCTTTAAAAATAAACAGCCATCAACACCAGATGAGCTATGAAGTCTAGTGGCAATAAACCAGAGAGCGCTGCTATTAAAATGTATATATTAGAAAGAATTTCAAGCACTAAACTGCTGCTTTACCTATCTGAATCTACATTAAATAAGCTAGGAATGTATTTTTAATAAGAACATTTAATTAAATGTAACTGGGATTAAATTTCATATACTATTGGGATTACTGCTTTATTATGCTGCCATTATCATTATCAAGCCAAGAGACTTGATAAACATTTTATATAGAGAAAAAAATTCAAAGGCCAGAAAAAAAAATAAATGTCTGGGATTAAACAGCATAATGTCAAATGTCACCTGAAAGACAAATGCAAAGTTAGACAAACCGTGATCCAGGAAAAATAAAAAAGCACTCAGCCAAATGGCAAAAGAATATCAGATAAAAAAAGGTACAAGACCACTGCTTCTCTACTTCAGTTCAATTTGAACTTTGATTAATGTCTATTAATCTAGATCAGAAAAGGGGAAAAATGAGTGAACAACATCCAGGATTGCTATTACTTATGATAGGATATTTCTTATTAACCTTTTCTTCAAAATTTTCCAAGTGTAATTATATAGAACAGACACAAAGGTATACATAGTTTAAATACAGTGCAGTTATTTGAAAAGGGTAGCTCGTTTCATAGAGAAATGTCATTGCATTCAGTGTCAAGTAAATGCTTTTGTAAAAAAAAATCTTACAAAAAATCGGCTAACCTCTTTTTCACTTTTACTTTTAAAAAATACATTTAATATATGCTCATCAAAGTTTAGGGGATATTAAATCAAACAGCATTGTGTTGTCTTTTTCATGATCTATAACAGATATGTCAATGCATTAGGTTTGGTTTAATGCTCTCCCTGCGTACAGGTGGCCTGTGTAGTTTTATTACAGATGACGTCTGATGAACATTTCCTTTCTGTCCGCATTCTGCTTCACCTGTTCAAAAGAGGAGATCTGCAGAATGGGCACATGCACAGTTATCCACCGAGTGCTTCTCTTTTTAACAAAAGATGCTTCTCACCTTTTTGTAAGAGATATTTAAAAAATGAATTTGGAGTGTAAGTCAAACCCTCTAACCTTGTTGTTGTGATACAGTACTTACACCACAGAGATCTATGTTTGTTATATTATGTAATAAATTTATAATTAAACTTTATAATCTTTCCTGGGTCTAGTTTTATTGTCTCCCTAAATGCTTTCTTTGGGTTACATACCAGGATCATAAAATTGTGTTCATGTTTTTATTTACACAATACCTTCCCCTGCAACTTCACAAAAAAGGGACATTTTGTTTTTGGTAACTGATGTTGCTCTCACTGCCTAATGTATATTGCTTCACACTAGAGAATGGTAATCTCTCAAATAACTTCCTTGGCTATTTAAAATAATTACAGATTGTGCAGTTCTTTAACTTTCTTATTTTTGCATTGAATGCATGGCATGATAAGGTATGTTAAGATCTGTAGTTAGTAAATAAATACTCCCCATTTTTATTTGTGATCAACTTAGATCAGGACTACTCTTATCTAAAGCACAAAATACTGGGGACAATGGATTATACTGGCGCAACTATGCTATTAAGTTTTAAACCTAATCATGTTTATTAGCATAAAAGAGAATAATTTAAGTAAAAGTTATCATGGTTTAGATGTAACCTACTGCATGTGAGCAACAGTGGATTACATAATCAATCATAAAAGTAGTTTAATTGAATAAATTCCAAATTTAGCTGTTACAGTATGTTCAAGCAAAACATATTTAGCTTATTTGTCTTTTCATAAGTCTCTTTCTATTTTCCGGAGGAAAGGTAGTTTCAAATGTGCGACCAATTTTAAACTGCATATTTATACACATGTAACCAAACTGATAATGAAGACTTTAAAAAAAGATAAATCACTGAACACACAAAGCCATCTGTAGTTAAATCCCAATGTGAACATGACAGGACCGTGTATGGGCATGGGAATGGGCAATTCAATTTAACCTTGCATCCTTATTAAATTACAATTAGTACAGTACAAGTACAATCTTACTGCACAATGAGCTCACAAATGACTATTTTTTGTAATAGGGCATGAGGAATAGATATAAAATAAATTCCCTGTGATTCCCAAATAACACATATTATCAGCAAAGATTATAATAAAGCATTACTGCACACAAATGTAGCTATATACTGTATATATGAAACTGAAAGAACCAAAATGACTACGTTCCTTATAGCCACCATGATACAGCATTCAATAGACATACAACATGCTAGCACAAATACTATACAGAATAAGTAATAATATAAAAATACAGCTTTAAAAGTACATACAATCATGGGCTTTCACAGTAATTAGGAAACAGACTATAGAACATCAACCGTTTGTAGATTTTGCGCTACTTAGCGCGAGACAGGTTGAATAATTTCAAACAGTGCACATCTTCCTCATTTAGTTTTGTATACCCTGGTCGAAATTAAAAGAAACCATTGATTTCTGCAATCCAGGCCTTTAAAAACCCTGATGTTGGCATCCATTTTTTTTCCAAAACAATTTCAAAGATGATTTATAGAAGGACAATGTGACCATTGTTGTTTTTCACAGTTCAGGCTACAGGAAATTGTAATTGAAAATCAGTTTCATGAATCAATAAATGACTAGATATTTAACCAAATATAATTCAGTTTCTACAGGTCTCCCTTTTTATAGCATATGGTCTACACCTTCTGACTTTAATGAACGCAAGTTTTTATTGTTACAGTAAAAATTAAAATAAGTTGAATCCTGCTTGATTAATCAACAGATTGTTATTCCTTTGCACACTGGCCAAATATATTAGCAGGCACCAAAGAACAAAAGAAGTACAAAAATTAAATTATACTTCAAGAAAATATAACCATGCACAAGAAAGAAATATTTTGAGCATATTAAATTAAATATTGCACAATTCATTCAAATTGAGGATGATGTGTTCATACACTGTACATTCTTGATAAATAAAGATCCTCTATCAAAACAGTATGAAAACTAACGCAAGCATTTGTTTTCGATTCTAGTACAATTACTGGAGATCCAATCTGTCAGAAAATACAATGCTGTATTATGCTGTTTACTTAATCTCCTCCGGACAAACGAGGACTGACAAACAGAATTTGTTGAGAAGCAACTATGAACTATTAAATCAATTAAATGAAAACAAAGCTGATTATATCCTTATTTAAATGTTATTTAACAGATAGAGTTTTTGTATATATAAAAGATACCTCTTATTTGAAACCATGTATCGTGCACACACATTAAAATCAGTATTCTACCCATAAAAGCTTTGTATGCCTTTAAAGTAACATTTTCAGCATGGACTGTTTTATAACTGTTTTTTCCGTCCTATTGGTACCAAGAATGGTACCAGAAGAAGGATCCCTCAAGTAAAACCCTGGAATTCTGCAGTCATCACAATACTGGTCATGCTGACTTGGATTTATCTTCCTTGGAGACGTTATCTTTATCAGTAGTGTCATCTTTTCTTTCCAGTTCAAAATTCTGCAGGGGAAAAACAAGGAATTGTTCCTGAAACCACAGGTCATTGAAAAGAAATGTGATGTGGTGCATCCAGTAAAAAAAATTTTGAAGGAACAATGGATACTCTCCAGAAAGATAATTCGTGTAGTACGTGGAGGATAAATGTATTGTGAATATGGCAAAGTATGCTAATATAACAGACTTCCCAGCCTGAACCATTCATTTTCTTGATATCAAATTTATACAATTTGAAAACATGAAATGCCCACAAAAGCACCAATCAAAGCCTAATTTTAAAATGTCAATGAAATGTATACCTTGATGTGTATTCTCCTATACTTTAGGAGAATGTTACACATTATGTTAAATAAAATCAAAAGTTTCAACTGCGTTAGAATATGCTGAACATGTAATCATCTCGCCAGAAAAGGCTTACCTCAAGTTCTCGCATTACTTCATCCATGAAATCGCTTGAATTTTGTTTGTAGGACATTGCCAGTTTAATTGCATCTCTGAACAACTGTCGAATGAACAAAAACCAAAACATGTTGCAGTTGCAGCTTTAATAAAGACTATGAAAACATAAGCATATACTGTAAGTCAATTAGTTGGTGACATCCCATCCCATATCTTTTTTTGGAGCCAGGCATTAGAAGGGCAGATTGAAAAAGAGGACAGTGATGAAAGCCTCATATACAAAAACAAAAAGGAGGAAGACAGGAGATACTGTATGGGGGCCAGTTAGAACCTTACTGATACTGAGAAGCAACTCCCCAATGCGCTTGAAGGAAGAAAAGCCGTTCAGGACTTAAGAGTCTAGAAATAATTTAATAGACAGACTTCAATATAAAATGCTCCTAACCCTGTAAGTTCTGACATCCGTGGTAAGTTAAAATCATTTGTACCCATTAAATGTGAAAATTGAAGCTTTACATATTTGTAGCATTACATATTTGAATTTCAAACTCAAAATATAAGAAATTGTATACAGGAAGTACTTGCAAAATATGTTTAGAAATATTTAAAATATCAATGTGATAAATAAATAGAGAAATATAGTAAATTTAAGAAATACAAGGTGATAACAATGGACAAAGACTATAACACTTTGTGACGGTCACCTAAATTTGGTAGCATTGTGATTGCTGATGTAAAGTCCAAACAAAATAACACTTCAAAAAATATTCTAAAACTAATATATGAAGGACTGATCATTATGCAAAAAAAATATATTTATCAAGGGTAACAATATTGTGGGAAAACATAAACATACAGAATGCAAGAACTGTTTAAAAAATCTAGCTAGTGCTAATTATTGTAAATCTTTATATGCAGTTGTACAGTTACAACTTTTAATGAAATGTAAATAGTGTAAATATATTCATTTAATACTTTAAGTGAAAATACATTAAAACAACATTATGAAACTAAACTCTTATGAGATGGAGAAATACAGTCCACACAGCACAAAACAAACAACACATTTCTACAGATACGTGGCTCTTTATCATTGTGAGTTACACCTAGCAGTTCACCTCCTTGTTCAACAAAATAAAACGGAGTTCTCACCTTTACTACATTAGTCCCATCAGCTGCAGATACAAAATACAATGGCAGTCCTTGTTTTTTAGCAAAGTTAAAATTTCTTTGGGTCACCTTCATATCAGCTAAAACGCAGAATAATAAAAATACAGAAAGATAGTTCAGGAGAGGTGCAAGAAAAGGCTTTTACATTTTCCTAATCTACACATACTAATTATTATGTATATTTGTGTGTCTATAATCTTAAAAATATATAAGCATGAAGTTCATTTGCTTTCTTTTATGCAAATAGTTTGTGTGAATTAACAACAAATGTGGCAGGCAGTTGAAAAGGCACTGCTAAAATACCAACAGCAAAAAAATAAATGATACATTAACAGCAAAGCTTGACAATACCAAAAAACTATCATCAGCTACAACAAACCATGTATGCAATAATGACAAAACTGTAACTGATATGCAAATTGAACTTATAAAGTGAAGATCTTGTTCACTTAATTGTAATATGGAAATTGAGGACTGTGGCGTCATAACATTTGTTACAAGTACAAAGGCACAATAGTATCTATTATTTTTTTAATAAAGCATTGGAAATGCAGGGCCTTTGCCAGGGGCAAATTTTCCCAAATTAAAATCGTAGTTGTTAAAAAACATGAAATGTATGGTTTGGGGGCAGCAAATTGCATTTTGCAGCATTACACATAGTATCTTTCACATTTAATGCCAGTATTCTTCTGCCCTTTTAAATCAAGTGGCATGCTTGGCAAAGTTGAAAAATCTAGATAATTGAGAACATTGCTAAAAATATTGTAAAACCTAAATCTGTCTATCATAATTCAAATAATGCCTAGACCTTTAAAACTACTTTTGAATGACATTCTGCACTAAAATAATGTGTATCAAAATAATTATCATAAAGCCTTTTTCACACAGTAAAATTCAGCTTAGAGCAGTTACTAGTCACATTAATGTATTTCCAGATATGAGGTTATTTTCAACACCTTAGCAATTAGGTTTGTCCTTTATACAAAGCTTTGTTTTGGGGGAAGACTCACCATCTATTTTATTTGCAACTACTATGCAGGGAATCTCTGGGCGATACTCCCTTAGTTCCATATACCAGTTAGAAAGATTTTTATATGTGATCTTTCTCTGAACATCAAATACCTAGAGAAAAAGACATAGTACAGTATATAAAGTATCATAGTCATTGCATACACACCCTATCAATTTGTATGCCCACCTCATACATATGAGCAATCAAAGGTTAAACTAAAATTCTTAATATGCGGTAAGAATGCAGTTTAGAATAACATTTTAACATTTAAGTTTATCTGAAACTTCTATCTACCTTTGTGTGCTCATTCTAATAATGACCACTAACTAAGTTTTATCAACAAAAATATAATTGTTGTTATACTGTTTGGTTATTGTAAATCTCTTCCAAAGTAATTGCACAAGTCAAAACAAACAAGTATAGGCCAAGTGTTATTGATGGTAGATTATTTATAAAACAATCCAGATGTTTGAAGAAAAACATTAACTGGAATACATGGCCAGTTTATTCTACATGTCTATGATTAGCAAAAAGTGCATAATAAATACAACTGCTCTTCAATTTCCACCTTTACCCCCAAGTCTTCTTTTCCCTCTTCAATTGGCTCACTAAGTCAGAACTGAAAACAGTTGAAATTACAACAACTAGGTGTTTCTCAGGTCTACAGTTTGCCTGGCCTTCTTGCTTACCATGATACAAGCATGAGCCTTATGATAATAAGAGGGGTGCATGCTCTGAAATCTCTCCTGCCCTGCTGTGTCCCAAAAGTCTAAAAAGGAAAGATTAGGAATTTATTGACAGTCAATTTTTTTTGTTGATTGTTCAAATAACATTCACAAAAATAATACGGCACTCTGTGTCAGGCTAGGAAGCTTTGATCATACAGTGCTACAGAAATTATAGATTACGTTTTTACTTGCATGTGCAAAATACAACAAATAGTATTAAGATTAACATTTAAAGCAGCTCTCTAGGACACTTTGCATGTCATTATAGAAAACATTGGTTAGAATTATGAAACAAATGTTCCACACTCGACTTGAAGTGAAAACCTATATAATGTACTGTATAACCCAAGTCAAGTTAGCTGCAGAACACTGTATTCACTGAAATAAAATAACTGATCTCTATCTTAAACTATAGTGCAATATACACGTATTGGAACATTATGAATTTATTTGTTTTGTCTTCTAAAACGTTTTGACTAAAAAGCTGCTCAACAAAAGAAACCATAAAGGTGAACAAACATGTTTTTAATGCAATACTGTTCACCTACACATTGCAATTAATTGGCATTTGCAGCAGTTTATTTACAACATGTGCAATTAATGTGGTCTACAGTCAGCTGAAAGCACTTACAACTTTGGTTAGCTTTTTTCAGGTTGTTATAAGATGTGAACACAGGAAAGAAGACTAAGACTAGTGCTTAATTTTGCCACTGTGATGCCACAGTAATCAGAGGCTGATAAGCTGATAATTTCTACAAGCTGGCGGCATGGTGCCGCAGTGGTTAGCATTGCTACCTCACAGAGCAGGGCCCTGTAATCAACTCTGCACCTGGGGTGCTGTCTGTGTGGAGTTTGCATGTTCTCCCCCTGCTCACAGGGGTTTCCTCCAGGTACTGTGGTTCCCTCCCACTGCCCAAAGACATAATGGTAGGTTAAGTCCCTTCTGGGACAATTGGCCCTGGTGTGAGCATGTATGTGTCTGTGTGTGTGGCCTGCCATGGACTGGCATCCCCATCCAGGGTACCTGGTACTGTGCCTGCTGTTTGCTAGGATAGGCTCTGGCTACCCCATGACCCTGAATTGGATGAAGCAGTTAGAAAATAGATGGATGGAATTATAAGAAGGCTCCTCAGTTAAGTATATTCCAAGACTTTTTACAGGAGAGGATGAAAGAGAATGGCTGGCAACTAAACCTAATAAACCTATACCTCGTCACATCTGGGCAGCCAAGAGTTATGCCCTGAACTCTTCATCTGAATCCATCTTTGCTGTCACTTGCAAATGCCCATAAACTGCTGAAGCATCCAGGACATTACGGGATCAGTAGAGCTAGGCCTGATCTGAGTCAGCTATGTGAAACTGTAATCCATGCTTGTTACTTGCTCAACAGCCACATCTTTGCTTAGTTTAACCTAAAGAAATGAGCTAAAATATCCTTATTAATTGGATTCAACCAGTTAACATGCTTCTGTCTGATGAATCAAGATTTCCATCTCATCAAACATCATTGGAACATAACTCAGGTTCATACTGTTTTGGCATTCCCAAATCTAGCAATTCATTGCAATTTATTAGAGCACAGTCAAAGGCAGACCTGAACCCTGACGAGGTCAAGCAGGCATTGCTGGAATGTAGTCATTGCTGCAAGAAGGTGGGACTACCCTGCTTGAAACTTTGTCACCTAAGTATCTAAGAAAGAGGGCTTTAAACAGCCAGGGTAGTATTTAATATATTTACATAATATCATTATTACATTACCCTGTGCATTTCAGTAGAAATTAACTTTATACATACCTACTAACACTGTTTTGTCATCAATTGTCGTTGTGTATTTATAGAGTGTCAGCGCATACGTAGAGAGTTGCTGAGGACGGCTGAAGTAGATGTTAAGAACTGAAATACGGAAATAAACTGGAAGGTTTCTGCCAAATACTCCATAAAACAGGACTTTAGGTAACATCTGTTCATCTGTCACAACCACTCTGATCTTAAAGACAATAAAATCTTAAAATCCAGCCATCATTTAAGAAAGAAATTCAATACAATAACTTATAAAAAAATGTTTTTCTAAAAATGATTTGAGGAGAAACTTCATTTCTCTTTATACTCTTCACTAATTAACTGGCAAAATAAATAAAATACACTGTGTGGGACATTTTGAAAAGGAACATATCTTACCTATCCATCTATATAATATATATCTATGTAATATATAAATATTATATATATATAATATCTATATAAGGAACAAGTAATAGGTTTATTCCATGCTGAAAAAAAAGAAGAAAGAAAACAACTTTTCGGCCGTGGAGCCTTCTTCACCTGAACCTACGCATGCTGACGCAGCTACCCACCTGAACTACTTTTTAGACACCTCTGTGTCACCTGAAGAAGGCTCCACGGCCGAAACGTTGTGTTTTCTTTCTTCTTTTTTTCAGCATGGAATAAACCTATTACTTGTTCCTTTGCAACCTATGCATGCTGACGCAGCTACCCACCTGAACTACTAATATCTATATAATCCCCATTAGTAATTAGGACCAGTGCAAAGAAAACAGAGAACTCTCAATGGAGCTGCTCATAACTAATATGTCTGTATACAATACAAAATCATTAAATCCCACCTCTGTGTCTTTTTAGAATCCAACATTACATTATGTTTGTGATGCCATCTCACATACAATGATCTAAATCATGCAGTTAGAAAAAAATCAGAGAGCAACAAAAGCAAAAAACACAGTATAAATGGTACGTGAAGAAAGTTATTAGACATCAAAGGATACTAGCTATCCATTAGGAATCTTTCCATTAACCTGAAAGACAAACAAAGGTAGGTTAATTGGAACTAAGATTAACATAGCAGGATAATTTCGGTCATAGATACTTTTAGACGCATTTAGAATTTAAATCATTTACTAATAGATTAGAAAATGTCGCTTACAGAATAATTGTAATTGTTCAAAATAATAATAAAATAAACTTTGCTAGTTTACAATGATTGTCTTCTTTTGTGATTCGAATCTAAAAATCATTCGGACTTTAAGATAAATTAACGAGGTCTGTGGCTCTAAATGGCCCAGATCGTGGCATCAATTACATCAAAATAACATTCATATCCAAGTTACACCAATGAAATGTTTGATGAAGTACAAGCATATAAATATCGAAGCTTCTTTCCGATTGTTTTCACAGAGCCGCGAGTCAAGGTGGAATAACTACCCACTTTGTTAAGAAAGAAGCATGTTATGGTGCTTAGTTATTCGATGAGAAATTGAGATTTAAGATTCCTTCCTGTGGTAAAAAGTTTAAGTAATAGTATTATAAATGTAAAGAACTGTGATATGGCCAATGTGTCCTGGAATGACTCTATATGAATGCGTTTTACAGCGCAACCTTTAATGGGCAAATTACACTTCAATAGCATCTTCCAAAGAGCCCCATAATAAATGCAAAAATTCTAATAACTGCTATACAGTGCCCATGATTCTCTTTCACGTAAATCCACTGCAAAAGCAAGCTGACTGTAGCTATAAACCTCGCAACAATGACATTACATGGCTTTGCTATAGCCAGAGATTGTGATTTACTCACTTGGATTTTCCAACAGCACTGTCACCTAAACAAATTATCTTGACTTGTTCGTCTGCATCGTATTTCTCTTGATCCAGGTCAGAAAGGGACGCGATATCTCCAGCCATGTCTCAAAACTAGCAAGAGTTCTCACAGAGTAAGCCGAGCTCTGATTACTGTCACTTCATGTAGAAAACATATTGGATTAATGCATCGTCGACATGTTTAATATCTGGATCAAAGTGAAACAAGTCTCTAAAGATATTAAATACTTTTCAGGTCCTCGAAAGCATCCAGTAACCTACTGATGTCAGTAAATCGATACTCTATCTATAGATATAACAAAAGCCCTTTCATTCTCTGCTGCAGAAAACCTTACTTTTAAATCGGACTCATTCAGACGAAACCGTACTATCAGCAGTAACCACGCAACGCAAAGACGCTACCAGAGGACTTCCGCCGGAAGTGTATTCTAATGGCCCCAATGAGAAGTTTAACTTATGCCTGAATTTTAGCCGTTTACTGTATCGTTTGTATAATATTAAAGACAATAAAATGAATAACAATAACAATAATTGATTACGATACTTTTTTACTTAACCTTATTTATTTACGTAAGCTGCAACTGCAGACACGTTTTGTTAGGGTTTGTATAGTTAGCTTAATAGACCAATTTAAATTCAAAAGTAAAGTGGCCGTTTAGATATACGTCATTTAGTTAATTTTATAACAGAAAAATTGCTTTGAAATCAATTTATATAGTCTTCAAAATTATATATTTTACATTGTTCTACTTTTGTGTGATTATATAGCGTGTCTAATAAATAATTGAGAAATATCATTAGATTCTGTCTCAGTTGGTGACCCTTAAATGCAAGAACTGGTTTTGTATCTCACTATATCACCTTGCAATTATATGGGTGCTAAGAACCTTTCTCCCCTATATCCTTTTTTTTCTCTTCCAAAACAACAAATGCCCCCCAGAGACCAGAAAAGACTTGTTATCCTACATATTTTTTTATTACAGTACATTAATCAATATACCCATCTCACAGGACCCATGGTAACATTTTCTATAACTGCTTAATTGACACAGAGAAGACATAACACAACTTATCACAGAGAGGCACTTACTCACAGAACATACAAGAGCCATAATGTCTCAAAGGAGCATTCCAGCATCTCTGTCCTCTAAAACCAGGTTCAGTTGATGACCTGATGTACAGAAAAGAAACTGTAGTTTTAGACATCTTCTTCAGTCTCAGCCATCCTAAACAATATGGTTCTTCATGCACAGCACCCCAGTGAGTCCACCTCCAAGGGAGGGAGAAAGACAAGACTGGAGCTTTCCTCTGGTGCTCTCTACAGTCTCTAGTGTCCGAGTCCTCTCCTGGGTTCTGGGGTGCAATGACTGGGGTTTTTGTTTTGGGTGTAGGCAGAGCTAAGGGCTTTGGCTTGGATCATCGATCAACTAGTTGTATACACATGCCCAGGTGTAACAATGCATTGTGTTTTCGAACCCTGTTACAGAGTCCCACCCCCCCAGTCCAAAGTCCAGTTAGACATGTCTCACTATCCCACGTCACCTCTGAACTGCCTCATAATTAATGAGTGTCTGCGCCAGGAGGATGTGAAGCCCAAAAGACAAACAGAGAACCACATCAGCTCTTAAGGAGACCATGCCCATTCTGTTCAAACTTAAAATCCATATGACACCTGTGGCCTCACACCTGTTTTTTCACTTTGTGATAGTAATACTACTGTAAATGACACTGACAGGAAAATCTAAAACTTTTTGGACATAATTGTTTGACTATTAATGTGAATGGTGGACATTCACATGCTTATCCCCACATTGATTTTAATGTGGGGATAAATATGAGCCCACAAAGACCACGGTGCCTCCTGAAAACAAGCCATGGGGATGTCCTCGCAACGTAAATGATTTAAACTAAGTGTCATCTCGTAAAATCCTAAAGTGCCGATATTAATCTTCTTTTTTCATTTCAGCTACATCTCAGTATATGATGAATACATGATGAATGATGAATGCATGATGAATACATCTAGTTCAATAAAAATAGATTGAGAGTCAATGAAAGATAAAAAGCCGGCAATAATGTGTGTGTTTGTGTCAATGTCACAGAGAGATAAAAGTAGTTGTAGGACAGTTTGTTTGGGGTTTGGGGGGACTATGTTTAGTTTACATACAGTTTACAGGTAGTCGTCCACTCATAACTCAAAAATCGCAATCACGTGTATCACGGTACTACACGAACCATACGGATGCATTAAGACATGCATAAATGCTACATTGTGTATTACGGCTTTGTCATATTTTTTCACTAATTTTTCTTTAGCCTTCTAAGGCTAGAAGGCTTAAAGGCATACGCTTTTGGATCTGATCTTCCATCCAAGTCACTAATAATTTGTCCGTTTCATGAATAGGACCTGGTCTTTTTTTCATTATTATTGTAGCTTTCATAGGTGGTGATCCTTTCACTGCTTCACAAATTCTTTCCTTGTCCTTTGATATTGTGGAATTTGTGAAGCAGTGAAAGGATCACCACCTATGAAAGCTACAATGAGAAAAGCCCAAGTCTTGTGTGACTGTCGATACCGATTTTCCATTTTCATGCTGCACTATTGTGTTCACTTTCATTTCTAAATCTATTGTCTTTTGCTTTCATTTTTTCCTATCTGTGCCACCAGAACACTCACTTTTGTGCTTGCTAGACATTTGCTTGCTGACCACCCAAACAATAACATGCGCCAGCATGATGTCATCAATGTTAGACATTACAACCAAATGCGGTGACACGAATATAATATACCATACTGTACAGTAATACGATTAAGGGGACAGCCGTCGTAAGTGCAAGTGGTCGTAAATCGCATACGTTATAAGTCAAGGAACACCAGAGTTGGCATGTTTTTTTTCCACATTGTGTCTGTTTTCTTCTTTGCATCAAGGTCTCCAAACTTTCCCGGCACAAACAGTAGAACAGGTGCTAATCAACAAAGATCGAAGGACACACTGTTTGCCTAGACACCCATACAGTCAGTGGTGACACATTAGATTGTGTGGGGGGTGTAGAACAGGCTGAAACAGACATGGAACAAGAACAGAAGAGGCTGGGACAATGCACCATGATAACTGGTCAACTGCATACAGCCAGTTCCTTAATGAGCTCCCACTTGTTAGATCTGCCTCCCCCCTGTGATCACCTGTACACTCTTGCACCTCCTTCAAATACTGGAGTTCTGGTTAGAAAGAGGGAATCACTACAGGCTGAGGAAGGCGACAATGGAGGTGTCTAAGAATGCAGATAAAGTGCGTGACACCTGGCAGCGTAAATATTTCCAGCCTCAAAGCAGAGGGCATGTTTGCTGAGATGTAGTGGGTCCAGAGTCTGTGATCCAAGCAACCAAGCAAAGTTTGCAGAGGAGTAGCTTAGTTAATTAAGGCCTGGGTAAATGAATAAGAGTCAATCAACAGTCCACACCATATAAAATCAGAAGGAGGAAAGAAGAGAGAAAGGGGGAAAAGAAGGTCAGACCACACCAGAGAGAGGAGAAAGAAACAGATGCAACTTAACTGGTGCCAGGCAAGAGTCTTTTCTTCATGATCATCTGAAAAAATCCAATTGGAGCTACGTATCTGAGTCTTGGTAAGAGAACTTGCTATTCTGTAGCTTGCAGGGAACTTGGAGTTACTGAGTGAAGGGTCCTTTGGTTTAAAACTGCCTCTCATGCTTGGTGGGTACATTTTAGAATAGGCTCCCATTTTGTGGTGTCCGGTTTAGACAAAGAGCGATTTAATCATAGGTTGTATTCTATTTAGTTTAGAAGGCAGCTTATCTCTGCTTTGGCCTCTGAAGGCATTATTTAAGATTCAAGAACTTGGTAGCAGCCTGAGGTTTTCTGGGTGTCCTAGATGTAGGTCTTTGAATCACCTTGCCAGTAAACTTGTAAATACAGTAACTTGTGTGTTATATGTTTCTGTTGTTTGTAGTGTAGTGTGTGTTACTGTCATTGTTAATAAATATTTGTTTAACCTAAGTGTACCTAAATTATTACTCTTTCCATAAAAGTTGTGCCAGAGAACAGAAAATGTGTGTGCCTCTAAATATACCAACCACTTGAGTATATTCTTGGCAGAAATCTTTGTAGGTTATGATCATTTATTTTACTTGACTAATCTACTTAGTCGGTTACTGATTTTCTCCATTTTCATAACCCACATTTGTAACAGTATTTAGCCCTTGGTTAAAAAAATAAGGCTGGAAGACTTGACACAGGAAAGGTCTCAGAGGAAAAAAGGGGGAACTCGGACAGAGCTTGGTGTAGAAGAGGTCTTCCTTCCCCTACCCTGGATATATTGTGGAGAACAGAGTAGAGAGAGTATAATAGACCATGTTGTTTGGGACTGACTAACTGAACAGTAGACTTAGGCTATCAAAGGATTATGCATAGTTTTGTTCTTTCTACAGTGCAGTGGAAAGACACATGCCAGGATACCTGTGTTGGTTACTGAGAACTACTGTATGAATTTAATATCAGATTGCAACAGGGGTGTAAAAAGAATAGTGGCAAACGTGGGGTTATAAAAATACAAACTACTGATTGACCAAGAGGGATCATCAATAACCAATAAAATAACAAATAATAAAAGTAAAATAAATTATCATAACCCCCAAATTGTAAAAGATATGCTAGGAATATACCTGAGTAGTTAGTATAGTTAGAGAGACTTGAGATCTTTGTTCTCTGGCCCAGCTCTGGAAAAGGTGTAATAAATCAGAGGCAAACTGAGATAAACAAAATTTATTAACAACAACATACAACATGCCCCACAACATACCCTATTTACAAAACAAGACGTCTCAGAGGCCTACATCCCGACTGACCAGGAAAACCCAAACCACTACCCAGTATTCAAAAATTCTATGCAATGCCTAATAGGCCAGAAAGAGTGATAAACCTGCGTCCTAAATAAAGCAGAATACCACCCAGGACTTATTCTCTCTTCCTATAAATTTAAGTCTCCAAAGTGAATGGGACCCTATCTCCCTATACAAAAATTGTATCCACTAACCAGGAGATAATATTTTTAACCTGGGGATACTTTATAAAGAAAATCAGTTTCCTAAAATAACAGAAGGCAAGCTCTCTTCAACAAAGCACAAATACTTAACTATAATCTGATCTTTTAAAGTTGATCCAAACAAGGTTCTCTTTCCTGGCACGTGCTTTTTCCTCTCTTTGCCTCTTCCTTCTCTCTTGTTGTCACGATCGTTGTCCCTCCTCTTAAGGGTGCTCCGACCCTTTCATATTTTAGTTTATTACGTGTACCTGCCTCTTGTTTTGCCTGTTATTATTTAAGCCTGGCGCTCCCGCTATTGCTGGCTCAGCACTGGAAGATGGACGCCCGGAAGCAGGAAG